AACCCGGGTCAGCCATGTGCAAGGCAAATACCCTACCCGTTGTGCTATCGCTCCAGCCCCACTAAATAATTTTTAAACTAAAAATTAACGGTAGTTTATCCATGCATTCGTTCACCTCTGTGGCCACAGAAATCAGCAAGGGAGGTGTCCAAAACTCACCCACAGCTCTCTGGTTTCTCGGTGCTAGCTCCCTTCCCCCTCAGTCCTCGGGCCACTTCCCATCAGGCATTGATCTCGCTTTCCCTCTCCTGCACTTCCAAGCCCATGCCTGGAAAGAGGCAAGAAGCTGCCCTCAGAGACTGTGGCTGAAAACTCAACAGGGCCCAGGACGGATGCAGGCAGGAGCAAATCACGCGGGCGTGAACACTAACACTCTCTCCTCTGCCTCTCTAGAAATAGCTCAGTGGGCTTTTTCGTTTCCAGCTGTTAGATCAGCAATCACAACTTCCACCCAAGAAGACTCTGGGAAATTGGGACTCTTCGAGAGCACCTCAAAGTCTACAGCGGGTGGGGGAAAGGAAAAGGAAGAGACCCCTACCTAAGGTTCAAAGTTGGGAGCTCAGAGGAATACTGCACCAAGAAACATAATTAAGAAAATTTCTAGCAGAATTTCCTGACCCTGCACCAGGCTGTCTTCACTGGGGCACCTTGGGAGGGGGATGTGGGTTGAGTTTCCCTCCCAAACAGAACCCCGGAAGCTGAAAACCTTCAGAATCCAACTACCTCCATGCTCAAGGCCACTCTCCACATGCTTGGACGAGCCTCACCCAAGAGGGGACGAACCTCCCTCAAGAGTGGACCTGAGGGGCTGGAGCAATAGCACAGCGGGTAGGGCGTTTGCCTTGCACGTGGCCGACTTGAGTTCAATTCCCAGCATCCCATATGGTCCCCTGAGCGCTTCCAGGAGTAATTCCTGAGTGCAGAGCCAGGAATAACCCCTGTGCATTGCCGGGTGTGACCCAAAAAGCAAAAAAAAAAAAAAAAAAAAAAAAAAAAAGAGCGGACCTGAAGAAAAACCCAGGTATGCAGGAACCCATGACTGAGATCTCCAAGCTCGCTCGGATCGGGACTGGGGTTCCTACCCCCAGCCCCCCAGTTTTCCAGTAGCTTGGCAGTTACACCCGCAAACCACCCTCCCCGCACCCCCATGTGCCATGTAATTTCATTAACAGCCAAGACCCAGAGACTATAAACCAAAGCTCCCAGAAGAGAACGATGCAGAATTTCACTCAAGCTTACTTATCAAAAGTCGCACACATTTGTTTGGTTTTAACATACTTGCTTGTATTCTCTTACATTCGGGCTTAAATGGCTCCAGAATGAAATACAGCAACCTTCACACACTTCTCTCTTGCTGTGATGGGAAGATGCTCACTGGTGGGGTGGGTGTTTGAATATTATCTGTAATGAACTATTGTGAACTACTTTCATGAAAATAAAATTAAAAAAAAGAGAAGGTAAAGGCCCTCCCGTTGATCGTCGACTTGCTCGAGCAGGCCCAGTAACATCTCCATTTGGAGACTTTGTTGTTACTGTGTCTGGCATATCGAATACTCTCGGTAGCTTGCCGGGCTCTCCGAGAGGGGCGGAGGAATCGAACTCGGGTCGGCCATGTTGGCCGCTTGTAAGGCGAACACCCTACCACTGTGCTATCGCTCCAGCCCTAAATTTCTAAATAGGGTGCATGAACTCTGGGGTCAAAAATCACGAAAGAGAAGAAATCACAAAGTACGAATTACAGCAGTGGTCCAATTTCTTTCTTTCTTTTTTTTTTGCAGGTTAGGGCCACACCTGGCAATGCTCAGGGATTACTCCTGATCTTTGTACTCAGGGATCACTCCTGGTCCATGCACAGGGGACCATATATATGGGATGCCGGGGATCGAACCTGGGTTGGCTGCATGCAAAGCAAGCATCCTACCCCCTAAACTAACTAGACCCTAACTTTTTTTTTTTTTTTTTTTGCTTTTTGGGTCACACCCGGCAATGCACAGGGGTTACTCCTGGCTCTGCACTCAGGAATTACTCTTGGAGGTGCTCAGGGGACCCTATGGGATCCTGGGAATCAAACCCAGGTTAGCCGCGTGCAAGGCAAACGCCCTACCCGCTGTGCTACCACTCCAGCCCCCGACCCTAGCTTCTTAAACTGTAAGCTGCCACCCATGAGGTCATGTAACTTTTTGTTTTGTCTTGGAGCCACACCCATTGGTGCTCAGGGCTTACTCTTGGCTCTGTGCTCTGGAATCACCCCTGAAGAGAGTAGGGGGACAGTATGGGGTGATGGGAATTGAACCAGGTGAACCTTATGCAAGGCACGTGCCCTACCCAGCTGGCCCTGTTAAGCTGCCCTCTTAACAATTACATTTCTAAGGTTGGTTGAAGGTTGAACTTAACATTCAGAAGAGCGAAGCACCATGCCAGGTGAAGTTAGTCAGGATGATCTCTCTCATACAGGCGGGTATAAAGAAACATAAGAGGAGAGTAACAAAAGGCAATAGAGGGCTGGAGTGTTAGCACAGCGGGTAGGGCATCTGCCTTGCACGCGGCCGACCCGGGTTCAATTCCCAGCATCCCATATGGTCCCCCAAGCAGGGCCAGGAGTAATTCCTGAGTGCATGAGCCAGGAGTAACCCCTGTGCATCGCCAGGTGTGACCCAAAAGCCAAAAAAAAAAAAGACAATAGAAATGAAGAGCCTGAGAACTGGTCTTCAGTGTGGGGGTGGGGCAGATAGATAGGTCAGGAAAGGAAATGCAGTGACGGTGGTGGGGGGGAAGTGGTCACTCTGGAGAAGGATGGGGTGCAGAAAGGAGGTCGAGGCATATGCACGATGCCCTATCAGTAGCGGGATTTGTAAACCACAGTGCGTACCAGAAAAATGAAGAAAGTCCCTGCTCTAGAGATGGGCTGAGGGGCAGGAGGGAAACCATGGACACTTGGTGAAGGGACTGGAGGCGAAACTCAGTCATGACCAACTTTACATTTTGTCACTCATGGTGATTCGATATATAAATATATAAATAAGATTGAAAAAAAAAACACCCTGCCATGTAAAGTGCCAGTTTGGTTTCACGCTCCTTAAAAGATTGTCTGCATTCTATCCATAGCCACTAACATTAAGCAAAATTAATAGCCTTTCGGGAGCGATAGCACCGCGGTAGGGCGTTTGCCTTGCGTGCAGCCAGCCTGGATGAGCCGGGTTCGATTCCTCCACTCCTCTCGGAGAGCCCGACAAGCTACCGAGAGTATCTCGCCCGCACGGCAAAGCCTGGCAAGCTCCCTGTGACCTATTCGATATGCCAAACACAGTAACATACAAGTCTGACAATGGAGACGTTACTGGGCCCGCTTTGAGCAAATCGATGAACAACGGCAGGACAGTGCAGTGCCACACTACCATCCTACACCCACTGCCATCTTGAGCTACCTGGTGTGACACTCACTGACTTTATTTTTATTATTTTATTTTTTGAGGGTTTTTTTTGGGGGGGTCACCCCCGGCGTTGCACAGGGGTTACTCCTGGCGGTACTCGGGGGACCCTATGGGATCCTGGGAATCGAACCTGGGTCAGCCGCATGCAACGCAACCCACCCTATCCACTGTGCTATCACTCCAGCCCCACTCACTGAATTTATGTCCAGCTAGCGGAGGGAACATTAAAAAAAAAAAGAGGCCAGCAATGTGGTGGAGAAGATGCTTCACTATCAGTCCTTCCCTCCTTCCCTCTCCAGCTGGGGAATTCTGAATCTCCAAGTTCCCCTGGAATCCAGGGTCACTAGGCCTGATTTACAAAACCATTCCATGGGGGCTGGAGCGTTTGCCTTGCACGCGGCTGACCTGGGTTCGATTCCCAGCATCCCATAGGGTCCCCTGAGCACTGCCAGGAGTAATCCCTGAGCATCCCCAGGTGTGATCTAAAAAGCAAAAACAAAAACAAACAAACAAACAAAAAAAGGCATTCCATGGGCCAGTCTTGTTGGGCTTTTGTTTTTGTTTGCTTGGGGGTGGGGGCACACCCAGCGTTGTTGCTCGGGGCTTATTCCAGGCTCATTGCTCAGGGGTTGGTGGGACTCGAACCCGTGCCTACCGCTGCTACTGTAACCCCCTCGCCCCTTCCCTGCTGTGTCTGCAGAGCTGCTCAGTAGGGACCATTTCCCATTTCCCCCCTCTGGGGACGCGCGAGGCAGAAGGGGGCTGAGCCTTGTGCAGGGAGCCCTGGAGGAAACCTCCCCCCCTCGCCCCCCCCCCCCCAGCCTTGACCCCCTTCCTCTTCGGTGCAGCTGCGTGGGGAGGGGGGAGGCCGGGAAGGGGGCCCGGGCCAGGCACTCCCGAGGCCCCGCCCTCCTCGGCCCCTAATTGGCCGCCGCGCCACTGGCGTGACCGAGGCCCCGCCCACTTCCTCCTGGGCCCACTCTGGGCCGATCTCCGGGAGCGGAGGGGGCTGACGGGCGGGCGGCGCGCGCGGGCGGTGAGGGGAGGGGGTGGCGAGGTTGGGGGGGAGGGTGCCGCGGTGCATCTTGGGCTTTGTAGTCCCGCGGCGCTGCTGCCGGCCGAGAAGCGCGCCGGCCCGCCCGGGGAACTACAATTCCCAGCAGCCCCCGCGGGCGCGGAGGAGAAGAAGAAGAAGAAGGGGGAGGGGAGAAGGCGAAGAAGAAGCAGAAGAAGAAAAAGAAGAAGAATCGTTGTCACGTGGGCCAGCGGGGCTGGGCGGGCTATTGCTTAGTGCGGTGGCGGCGGCGGCAGCGGCGGCGGCGTCTTGGGGGGGTGGGGGGGGTCCGGCCCGGGTCTTTTGTTTGCAGCAGCAGCAGCTGCGGTGCTGGGGGGGGGTGGGGTGAACTCCCCCACACCCTCCCGGAGCCCGGCTGCCCCTCGCGGGGGGCCCGGGGGGCTGCTGCCGGACCCCCCCCCCCCACACCTGCAGGCCTCCCCCCCCCGGGGCTGGGCCTCACCCTCGGCCCCCTCCCCCGCCCCGCCCTCGGCCCGCCCCGTGGGGGAGGAACCCGCGGGCCCCCCCCCCCACCGGCGCCTTGTGGCCCGGCCACCTCGGAACTGGCTGCCCCTGGCCCCTGCGCGCGTGCACCGGACCCCAGGCCGCCCTACTCCGCGCGGGCAGACCACCATGAAGATCAAAGATGCCAAGAAACCCTGTAAGATGGGGCTGGCTTGGGGGGGTGGGGGGTGCTGGCTGAGAGTGGAGGGGGGGTTGGAGAGGGGAGCAGCTTGGGGTGTGTGTGGGGGGGGTCCCGAGTGGAAGGGAAGCGCCCTGGGGACACCGTCCCCAGCCCCCCGTGTCCAGCGGCCTGGTTTTCCCAGCCCCGTCGCGCTCTGCTGGTGCTCAGCTCCGGGTGGGGGCGGAGAGGCCTTTGCAAGGATGCAGGGATCCGGGCCCAAGGCCCCTACCCTTCCTTGGCACCCCGATCTATACCTGCATACCTGCTGGCCACCCCTCACCCCCACCCACCCACCCGCCCAAGACTCTCCCCCTTTCCTCCTCTCACTTCCTCCTCCTCCTCCTGGACATCCTGGGGGTGCAAGAGGGAACCCAGGCTCTGGGCTGGGCCCTGCCAGGCTGGTCCTCCCAGCCTCCCCCACAAAACCCCTTCCTGAGGTCGCCAAGGGGATTGGTGGGGTGGGGCTGGGTGGCGTGGTGGTGGTGGTGGTGGTGGTGGGGGTGGGGGTGGGGGTGGGAAGGATGGGGTGGGGTGGGGTGGGGGTGCGGGGTCGTCCAAATTGCAAAGTTAGCTGGTCTCTCTGCTCCCTGCCCTTGAAGCCCCAGAGAGTTGCAGGGAGTTTGCATGCCTGTCACAGTGAGGTCGGCTGGCTGCAGGACACACGTGCTGGACCCCCCACCCCCACCCCAGGCCCTGGTCCTGAGGCTGTTCTAGTGGTGGGAGGATTAACATGAGCCAGTTTAGGTATTGAAAACAAATTCAGTAAATAAATGAGAGGTTTAGAACGCCGCCTTCATTCCTATTCACTTGGTGCTAGCCACTGTCACTGTTTTGGTGAATGCATCCACTGGGATTTGTTCTACAATTGGATGGATGGATGGATGGATGGATGGATGGATGGATGGGTGGGTGGATGGGTGAGTAGAGAGATGGGGATACATAGTTATATGCATGGAGCGATAGCACAGCGGGTAGGGCGTTTGCCTTACAAGCGGCCAACATGGCCGACCCGAGTTCGATTCCTCCGCCCCTCTCGGAGAGCCCGGCAAGCTACCGAGAGTATTCGATATGCCAGACACAGTAACAACAAAGTCTCCAATGGAGACGTTACTGGGCCCGCTCGAGCAAATCGACGATCAACGGGAGGGCCTTTACCTTTACCTTTATGCATGTTCTTCAAGTGTTCCTCAGGCTGGAAGCAAATCTACTTCCACTGGCTTTTCCTTTTCAGTCTCTCAAAAAAAAAACAACAGAAAAAAACCCCTTTCACTAGTGTCAGTGATCCAGCTATGGTGACTGGCATGCTTTTTTTTTTTTAAGCTGTGCTTCCAGAGTTTCTTGGAATGTGTGTCTGTGTGGGGGGTGTTACCTTGTGTCTTAGAATTGTATCTATATTTTGCAGTTTTTACATTGATCCTCCCTACAACTTAGGGCAAAAAAATCTCCTTTCATTTGGGTGGGGTGGGGGTTTTGGAGTCACACCTGATGATGATGCCCAGGGTTTACTCTTGACTTTGCACTCAGGGATCATACCTGGTAGGCTTGGGGGGCACACGATATAGCCTGGGATCGAACCCGGGTCTGCTATGTGCAAAGCAAGCACCCTCCCTGCTGTACTATGGCCTTGGCTAAGAAATCTGCTTTAAAAGCTGTGGCACTTCTCAAGGTCTACCTTGAGAAGGAACAAGCTAACGGATTCTGGAAAAAAAAAGTATTTTTTTTTGTATTGGATTATTTAAGTGTTATCGAGTTATATCAGTTCATGCAGTGTCGGTTTTACCCCTGGAGCATGGGCCCACAGTAACTTTCTGAGACGGCCCCCTGGTACTCCCGCGCGCTGGGCCCAGGGTCAGCGACTCAGGTTCCATGGTTCTTGGGTCTTGCTTCTGCGCCTGGGGGCATAGTCTAACCGCCCTGATACACAGAAGCCTTCCTGATCTGATTAGTTTAAAATGATGATTTCTTGAGGCTAAAGTGATAGCACAGTGGGTAGGGTGTTTGCCCTTGAACATGGCCAACCCAGGTTCGATTCCAGCATCCCATAGGGTCCCCGAGCACCGCCAGGAGTAATTCCTGAGTGCAGAGCCAGGAGGAACCCCCGAGCATCACTGGTTGTGACCCAAAAAGAAAAAAAAAGAATGGCCCAGAGCCAGAGCCACAGCGGGAAGGGCTTGCACATGGCCAACCCAGGTTCAATCCCCAGCATCCCATAGGGTCCCCCAAGCAACACCAGGAGTAATTCCTGAGTGCAGAGCCAGGAGGAACCCCTGAGCGTCACCGGGTGTGACCCAAAAAGCCAAAAATTAAAGGAATAAATAAAATGATTTCTTGTGAGAGATGAAGAGTTTTTGTTTACGGGGTTCTCAAATAGATAGAGGCAGGACAGAATACAAGACAGTGTAGGAATACTTCCAAACTTTTGCTGAATCAAGCTAATCTTTGAACCCACACAGTTGATGTTAGGGCACTTGAATATCTTCCCTTAACGTGTGCATTTTCTTATGTTCTGTTATTTTTGTTTGATGGGGGGGCGGTCCAGACCCAGTGGTGCTCAGGGCTTATTACTCCAGGCTCTGCTCAGGGATCACTCCTGGCGGAGCTCACGGGTACAGAGATTGAACCCTCATCATCACATCTAAGGCAAGTGCCCTATCCATTGGGCTATCTCTCTGGCCCCTAATCTGTGCATTTTTGGTGTGTCTTAGAACTTCCATTCAGAATAATTAATGTTGGGTTCTGAGTGATAGCACAGCGGGTAGGGCTTTTTGCCTTGCAGGCTGCTGACCCGGGTTCCATTCCCAGCATTCCATAGGGTCCCGCCAGGAGTAATTCCTGAGTGCATGAGCCAGGAGTAGCCCCTGTGCATTGCCGGGTGTGACCCAAAAACAAAACCAAAAAACAAACAAACAGAAAAACAGAATAATTAGGGTTGGGGTTGTGTAGGGCGTTTGCCTTGCATGACCCAGGTTCAACCCCCTGGCATCCCATATGGTCACCTGAGCACCGCCAGGATTGATTCTTGAGTGCAGAGCCAGGAGCAACCCCTGAGCATGGCTGGGTATGAGCCAGAAAGCAAAAACAAACAAACAAAAAAGCAGAATAATTCTCTTTTGGCATTGATCTCTTTTTAGATGAGATAATGATTTGGTTGCTGGTATTCAGGCAAACTATTAACCAGGAGCATATGACCCCTGTCAGATATTTCAGAGAAGATCATTTAAAGTTTATAAACCTGGGGCAGGAACAGTAGTTACAGCGGGTAGGGCATTTATTTGCCTTGCACAGAGCCGTTCCGGGTTCGATCCCGGGCAGGAGTGATTCCTGAGTGCAGAACCAGGAGTAACCCCTGAGCATCTCCTGATGTGACCCAAAAAGCCAAATAAATAAATGAAATTGATAAACTCTAGGCTGAGCACCTTTTGGGTGGGGGAGGGGGGTGAAGGCGTGCAGGCAGGGAGCACCCAGCCCAGAACCATTTCCGGCTATTTTTTCTATGTCCGGCTAGATAGTTCGGTGTTATCCTGCTTGGACCCTTCCAGGCTACATCCGGTGGAGAACACCTGTTTTTTTCCCCAAAGTATTACTTATTCCTACTACTACCCATTAAATATTGTACTGGAGCGATAGTCCCCCGGGTTAGCGCCTTTGCCTTGCACTTGGCCTAGCCCCGGTATGATCCCCAGAGCCCCCACCAGGAGTGATTCCTGAGTGCAGAGCCAGGAGGAACCCCCTGAGCATCGTCGGGTGTGACCTGAAAAAAAAAGCCAAATAATAAAAGATTTTTTAGAAGACCCATTAATGTTAAGAGCCACGTGGGACATGGCAGTTAATATGATTTAGAAGTCTGAAATAAAACGTTTCTAATTTCTTGCCTGCAAGAAGTTGACTTTAACTGCTTCATTCAGAGAGAGAGAACAGAGGAAGGGAAGAGGGGAGGAGAGAAAGAACAGAGACCGAAACACAGAAAGAAGAGAAAGAGGGATGGAGGAGAGAGGGGGAGAGGGAGAGGGAGAGGGAGAGGGAGAGGGGGAGAGAGAGAGAGAGAGAGAGAGAGAGAGAGAGAGAGAGAGAGAGATCAAACATAGGCCCCTTCACTGCAAGACCAGTGCTGTGCAGCCCAGCTAATGACCCTAATGACCCTGTTTATTTTTTCTCCCTGGGGTCTATTAAGTATTTTTTCTCTCCTTGGGGATTGCCCTGAGGTGCTCAGGGATTTACAGAGCCTCAGGCTGGTCACATGCAAGGCAGGTGGCTTACGGGATTCTCCTGCCTAGCTTTGCTCAGGGCTCCTGGGTTTGGTCCGGGTTACTGCATGGTCCCCTGAGGTTTGCTTCTGAGCACGACATCCCCCCAGCTTGGGCACTGCCGCCTGTCGCCCCAAAAACTCCAATTAAAAGAAAAAAGACCAGAAAAAAAAGTCTTGGGGCTGGAGAGATAGATAGTACCTCTGGTAGCGAGCATGCCTTGCGATTCCTAGTACCCCGCATCTCATACTGTATCCCTAAGCCCCGCCAGGAGCGATTCCTGAGTGCAGGGCCAGGAATAACCCCTGAGCATCACCGGGTAAGGCCCCAAAACCAAAAAAAAAAAAAATTTTTTTGTTTGTTTTTGTGACATAGGGAAGTATTTAAATGATGGACAACGAGAAACATTTAGGACAGGAAATGCCATTCCTAGTACTCGAGAAAACATTCATGTTAATTGAAGATAGATCAGGTTTTTGAGTAACTGTTTTGTTTTGGTTTGAGGACCATACCAGGTGGTACTCAGGGCTTCAGGTTCTCTGCTCAAAAAAATACTCCTGGTGGGGCTTGGGGGCACACTATGGGGTTCCAGAGATTGAACCCAGGTCAGCTATTTACAGGCAAGTGTCCTACCCACTATGCTCTCTCTCTGGCCCCTTAAGCTATCTTAAATATTGAGCAGGTGTAAGGCCCTACTTTATATGCATTGCATCATTTAACCCTTTAGCAGCT